ATTTATGCTTGCGATATTTTCGCTCTAGAAATGCTCTATTCTTTCACCTCTGGACACATTTTAGCTCTTCTATCTTGTTTTCTTCTCTTTTATTATTTATTTATTTATTCATTTATTTATTCCGGTATCTTTTCTTTGGCATGGCATTCGAGTCGGCTATATTTTCGCGAACCGAAACAGATTTTTAATTTATATATATTTTTTTCCTTGGTATCTGTGATTATGCTTGAACGTCATTTCATTACGCTTGATGGTCTGGAAATGATTTTGGTAATGAGTGCGTTGGCGTTCAAGATAACCTGAGGTCGTGGCTGGTGTTAGGTTAAATGAAATACTACATTTAAATTCTTTACTTTTAATGTTATTTAATTAGTAGAAGGAGTACTGGTTTAGTTTTTTTTTATTATTATTCTTGGTATTATTGGAATATTTTTTATTACGTCATTATTAGTTTTTTTTCCCTTTTTAATTCATATGGGCGGCATTTGAAAATTCAAAATGGGCAAACTTTTTTTTTCGTCAAATTAAACTTTGGCTTTTCAAAGATATTTTCGCTTTATTATTTATATAAAGTTTTTTATCTTTTCTTTTCTTTTTTTCTATTTCATTTTTATTCGATTTAATCAGTTGAGTTATTTTATTTTGCTATTCGTTTTTTCTTTTCTTTTCTTTTCTATCTTTTACCTTTGAACTAATTTAAAATCCGCGAAATTATTTTTTTCCCTTAAGATTTTGCTTCTATTTACATTTTTATTTATTCATGCATTCGTTTATTTTGCTCTTTGATCTCTTTACTTAATTTCTGCCTCTTCCTTTGTTATCGGTGTTTTTTTCCCCTTCGTGCCTTTTATCGACGTATTTGCCTCTTTTGCTTTCGTCACGTGGTGTTGCCTCCTCCTTTACTCGCGCGGTGATGAGAGGCATCGGCAACTTATGCAATGTTGATGATGATGATGGTTGTGGGGATGATGATGGTGATGGTGATAGTTGGGGGATGATGGTGATGATGATGGTGGTGGTGGTGATGATGATGATGGTGATAGTTGGGGGGATGATGGTGATGATGATGGTAGTGGTGGTGGTTATGATGATGGTGATGGTGGTGATGATGATGATGAAGGGGATGATGATGGCGATGGTGGTGGTGACGATAATGATGATTATCATGGTAGTATTAAATGATACTGAAGATGATATTAATGATGATATTGATAACCATTATGTTGATACCAATTAGACTGATAATAATAATGATTATTATTATAATGATGATCTGGATGACTATGATAATGATGATGATGATAATAATAATAATGATAATAATATTTTCTCTCTCTCTCTCTCTCTCTCTCTCTCTCTCTCTCTCTCTCTCTCTCTCTCTCTCTCTCTCTCTCTCTCTCTCTCTCTCTCTCTCTCTCTCTCTCTCTCATTTATCCTCACTTAAGATATAATAACAACAACACTAATAATAATAATATGTGATAACTCGTCAGTGTAGTGGGAAACTTGTCATATTCTGTCTCCTATTTATGTTCATTTATCTTATCTGATGTAGCTAGTGACGTGTGTTTATTTGCATTTTTTTGTTTTTATTTATGTTCATGTTTTTATTTATTTATTTATGTTTGTATGTCTGTACCTGCATCTGTGAGCCTCCCCGCACGTGTGTTTCTTTTTGATTGGGATGTATGTGTTCGGGGATGGGGGGGGAGGTGGGGAGGGGGAGGGGGAGGGGGAGGGGGAGGCATGGGGGATAACCAGGAATGGGAGGTAGGGGGTGGGTGTGGTGGGGGGGGAGGAGGGGGAGGTAAGGGGGAGGTAGCGAAAGGGTTGACATGTCCAGCATTCAGTCAGTCCCCGGAATGCGAGGAGGGCGCAGCAGCACCGCGCGAACTGATGCCTCTTTTTATCAGGTGAACTTTATATTCGTGGTTCTGCAGGAGCTCGGGAGGAGGCGCTGACGGGAGCTCTTGAAGGGGGACCCTGAGGAAGAGGCGGTCGTGCTTGCTCTTATGATGGACGGAAGGAGGAGGAGCTTTGAAGATCCAAGGAATTGCTCTTGAGGACCAGAGGAACTTAGAAGAACTTCGGTGCTCTCAAGAACCCTCGAAAAAAAAAGTTTTTAGAAAAAAAAAGACTTTTAGACAACAAGAAAGTGCTATTAAAGAAACCAAAAAAAGGAGTTTTTAGTAAGCAAGGACGTGCTCTTGATAAACCAATGAAAAAACAATGTTCTGGAGAACAACGACGTACTCTTAAGAACCTAGAAATGTTTATTTTTTTAAGAACAAGGACGCACTCGTAAGAAGCCATTTAAAAAAGAGAGTTATGGAATACAAGAACTTTTTTCTAAGAACATTTTTCTAAGAACAAGGACGTACTCGTAAGAAGCCATTAAAAAAGAGAGTTATGGAATACAAGAACTTTCTCTTAAGAACCGAGGAAGGAATACTCGCGTTGAAGATCGAGTTGTTCTTGTTCGTGGGACCTCCGCCACCAAGGGAACTCCACAGGTGCTTCTGGGGATCCGAGGAAGTCGAGTGAAATGAAAGTCCCAATGAGAACTAATATGCTCAGGTATTATTCGTGTGGTATCGTCATTATAGTTTGCTTTCTGTTCTGCTTTTGTTGTTGCTTTTATTTTTTATTATTATTATTTATTTTTATCTTATATTTTAAGCTTATGTTTGTTTTTTTGTTTTTTTGACGCTCTGTATTTTATATTTATTTTATTTGATCTTTTATATGATTTTTTATTTTATTTTTTTATTACTATTATTTTTTTTTGAGTTTGTTTTATTTTATTTATATATTTTATTTAGCTTCTTATTTATTTTATGTTTTAAGCTTTAATGGGCGGTGATCATTGCCACGCCCTTGCAAGCGCACCGTAGACTTAGACTAGCTTGCACGCGAAGGCACAGATGTTGGGCGTTGATGGATGGGCGTCAATAAATACTTCAGTTACTGAGGACTTCATCTGAGCTCTGATTTTTTTTCTTTCTTTCTTTTTTTACGTTGAGGCATACGTAAG